TGGGAGTCCAGCGACATAGCCATTACGCTAACTGCTGGTTCCCTCTATTTTCTTCTTTTAAAATTTTATTATATTATTATTTTTAAATTTTGCTAGAGGGCATGTGTGCTCACCAGAGAGAGCAAGAGAGTGAGAAAGTGAGCCTCCAGGTCGGGTATTTAAAGCACAGTCAACCATGCGGGTATCCATCATCTTAACCACCATGTCACCTGCTGTCTTTGAGGCTATAAGTTTTTAAATTTTCAAAATGTAGGAAAGGGAACATGATAAAAGTATAATTACTATTTTGAGTTAATAGCTATTAATGTAATACAAAAAAAAATTCTAGATGGTAATCTGGTAAATACTAGGAAATGAAGACTATCTGCAGTGATAAATTGAACATCCAGTCTGTATTTCATCTGAAAACTCAAATTACATGCAAGCTCTGGAAGAGGAAATTAGTCTCTTTCTTACATTGCCATCTTGTGGCAGACTTGGGTTCTGAATGACGCTAATTCAATTTTCCTAAGTCCAGGAAGGATTTCTTCAATTTATTGTGACGAAAGTGAGGACTGAAACTGACCACTTTCTTTTGCTTTAATTTTTTCCTAGAGGCTTGGGAAGAGTTGTGCCAGTTAATAGCCCATTGATTTTTGCTAAAGTAAACCACATTGGTTCAATGATTGTGCAATACTCCCTACATCCTGACTCTGCATAACATCATGTGAACATATAACAAACCCTTCTTGTCTCTGTTGAAGTTTAACCTAGACATTATTTTCTGTTCTCTTTTTTAGACAAAGACTTGTGCTTTTTAATTTTTTTTAGTGATTTTTTGAGGCACATGTGCTCACCAGAGAGACAGGAAGCAATTAAACAAAACAAAACAAATCTGCTGTGTGGAAACCTCTTGGGATACTTTCTCAGGCTATCAGATCATGTTCCCAGGCCATAGTTACAGTTTAGGTGTGAGTATACCTTTAAAAATATTTTTATGATTTGCTTATTTCCATTGGGAAAGGATTGTCAAGATTAAAAGTTAAATACAATTGGTATTAACTCAAATGAAATGAAAACTCTTTGGTGACAAAAATGACTATTAAGGGACTAGTAGGTGGTGTGAAGGTTAAGGTGGCTGGATCACACATGACTGACTTTGTTGTTCAAGTCCCAGACCGAGTGGCTTGACAAACAACATGCTGGGTGCATGTGCACAAAATCAGAAGAGAATGGGGAAGGGATTGGCATGGCTATCCTCTCTGGGAGTGAGTTCTCATTTTCTCTCTCTGTCTCTCTTGTGAGTGCATGCATCCTATAGCAAACTAAAAAATGATTTTGGATTACTTAATTATATCTTCCAAGTTAACTGGTTTATGTGCCTATTCTCTTATTGTGAGGCTGTTGATTTTATAACCTCTTAAAGGTTGGTTAAACTTATTGTGCAGTTTCATCCACTTTTTTTTGTTGTTGTTAATTTCTTTTGGGGCCAGCAGGTGGTGTGGTTGTTGAGGTGCTGGACTCCCACATGGCTGACCATGGTTCAAGTCCTGGACCTGGCGGCTTGCATTCTCACTCTCCATTTCTCTGTTTCTCTCTGGTCAAAATTGAATAATGATAATAAATATAAGTAAAAAATAAATAAATCTTTTTTTTTTTTGAGAGGTTTTTTGCTATAGGGCGCGTGCCTATATAGACAGAGACATAGAGACAGAAAGCGAGAAATCACCCCCCAGGGGGGATAGTCACGCCGCAATCCCTTCTCCTCCATTCTCCTCTTGGGATCTTGGGCACGCACGCACACGCGCCCGGCGTGAGTTTTAAGCCACCGGGTCCGGGACGCGAACCGCGGTTGACTACGTGGGAATCCAGCGAAATAGCCATTACGCTAACTGCTGGTTCCCAAATAAATAAATCTTAAAAAAAAAAGTTTCTTTCTTTCACAAGAAAGTACTCTGGGGACCAGCATAATGGCTATGTTGCTGGACTCCCATGTAGTTGGCCACGGTTCGAGTCCCGGACCGGGTGGCTTAAAGCCCATGCCAGGCATGTGTGTGCATGCCCAAGATCCCAAGGGGAGAATGGAGGAGAAGAGATTGTGGCATGGCCATCCCCCCGGGGGGTGAATTCTCACTTTCTGTCTCTCTGTCTCTCTGTCTTTCTGGCAAGTGCATGCCCCCTATAGCAAAACCTCTCCAAAAAAAAAAAGGACTCTGAGAAATACCCTCAACAGGGTGTCATACTGTGGCATTTAGAGGTCAGCCTGGGAACTGAACCCCGATCTTCCACCTGGTTTCCAGATTTGCAGAGTGGCATATTACTACAATGCCACTATGGCGGAGCCCACCTTTAATTATAGAAAGTTGAGTGTGTAGAAGTCTTCTCCTAATCTGATATTGAGTTGGGCATTTGATGATGTTAAATAGATGGGTCAACACAGGCATTATTCACTTAACTGAGTTCTGTCCCTTCAACTAGGTAGTTAGGCTAATACAGGAGTTTTAAGGTCTTGTGTGTTATGGCTTCATAGGGTATACATTTTTCAACAGAGATCATGCAACAGCATAATAAAACAATGTAATTCTACCCACACAAAATACTATAAATCCAGTGTAATTGTTTTTATTTATTCTGAATAGTGGGAAGGTCTAAAGAAAATTTCAGTTTGATAACTGCATGAAATATTAGTCTTGCAAAACTGAATGCTTGATGTGGTGAGAACTGACTGCTGAAATGAGAAAGACAGAGAAAGAGGGATTCCCTGCAATGAAGGACTGGTTTGGAGAACTGGTCATAAATCTGAGGGATTGTTAAACACGTTATTAAGCGAGGAGTGGCTATAATTTATATCACAGGAGATTAAAATAATTTTCCTTGTTACTTGCTGTAAAAATACTCATGTGAGTTGTCATATAATCATAACTTTTGCATATCTATGTAATTACTATTTTTTAATTTTCCAGAATGATGCTAGTTGATAAATCCGTTTTCAACATGATTCCTAGATAGAAGCTAGATTCATCTCATACCAGAGGTAAGAGAAAAATCTTCATTTATAAGTCATTTGGATTATTTTAAGAGATTTTTGCTATAGGGCATATGTATTCACTGAAGAGACAGACAGATATGGGGAGAGAAATCATACCCCCAGGGGGCATGGCCATGCTGCAATCCCTTCTCCATTCTTTGTGGATTTTAGGGACACATGCACATGCGCTTGTTGTGTCTGGGACTCAGACTGTGGTAAGTCATGTGGGAGCCCTGAGATGAAATCATGAATGCTATCTGCTGGTCCCACCTCATTTGGATTTAAAAATTTGTTTTTAGGGGCTAGCAGGTGGCGAGGGGGTTAAGGGCACTGGATTCCCACATGACCAGCCGTGGTTTGAGTCCCGGACCTGGTGGCTTGCTTTCCTGCTTTCCCTTTCTCTCTTTCTGTTTCTGTCTGCTCAAATTAAAAAGTAATAATAACAAATGGAATTAAACAAATAAATAATTCTTTAAATTTGTTTTTACAGTTTTTAATTTAATTTATTGTTATTATTTGTAATTCACCAGAGAGAGAAAGAGAGAGAGTAAGTGAGAAAACAAGCCACCAGTTCCAGGACTTGAACTGCAGTTAGCCATGTGGGAGTCCAACACCTTAACCACCATGCCACTTACTGGCCCCCTCATTTGGATTTCTAATTACCCAGCCACATTTGGGGCATAGTCTTATCAATAAGTGAAATTTGGTAGTTGAAACAGTCCTAATTCTATCCTTAAGGGAGCCTTCCTGGTTTAGAAATAAGCTGGTGGTGGTTTGCCCTTCACCAGTTACTGACAGTTTGCCATGATGAGATGCATGTTAAGTCCGTGTTTCAGCTGATAACCCTGATTAAACACATGCTCTGAGCAGACTAAAGCTAGGGGCAAACACATGAAATTGAATTTTGTTTGCTGAAATTCCTATTGGGATTAATGATCTCAGGTAATTCTTAAAACTTTGAAGTATGGGGGAACCAGCAGTTAGTGTAATGGCTATGTCGCTGGACTCCCACGTAGTCGACCGCAGTTCGTGTCCCAGGCCCGGTGGCTTAAACTCACGCCGGGCACATGTGCGTGCGTACCCAAGATCCTGAGAGGAGAATGGAGGAGAAGGGATTGCGGCGTGACCATCCCCCCTGGGGGGTGATTTCTCACTTTCTATCTCTCTGTCTCTCTGTCTGGCGAGCACACGCGCCCTATAGCAAAAACCTCTCCAAAAAAAGAAAAAAAAAAAAACCTTTGAAGTACACGGACGAGCAAATGGTGTGTTGGTTAAGGCGCTGGGTGCTCCCACGTGGCTGACCACGGTTCATAGTCCTAGACCTGCTGGCTTGCTTTCTCACCTTCTCTCTCTGTGTCTGTGTGTGTGTGTCTCTCTGGTCAAATTAAAAATAAATGAATGAATAAATAAAGTTAAATAAATAATTTTTAAAAACTTGAATGAATTTGATACTATGACCAACATTTTGGCATGCTTCTCTCTTTTGTGCTACCTCTGATTTAGAATGACAGCTAGGAAACCTTAATGTAAAAATTTAAATACTACAGAAAGAACATTGGTAACTGTTTTTTTTTTTTTTAGAGAGAATTATTTTATTTAACTTTATTTAGTTATTTTAATTTGACCAAAAAAGGACACAGAGAGAGAGAAAACAGCCACCAAGTCCAGGACTTGAACCACAGTTGGCCTTGTGGGAGTCCAGCACCCTTAACCACCATGCCATATGCTGGCCCCATAGAGAGAGATTTTTGCTATAAGATACTTATATTTGCCAAAGAGACAGAGACAGAGACAGAAAGCTAGACATCACCCTCTCTGGTGGATGGCCATGCTGCAATCCCTTCTCCATTCTTTTGGGATTTTGGGCACATATGCACACATGCCCAGTGTGTTTTAAGCTGCCAGGTCTGAGATTCAAACTGACTAAGAGGGAAGTCCAGTGATGGCTGCGTTGCTGGACGCCCATGTAGTCAACTGTGATTCGAGTCTTGGACCTGTTGGCTTAAACTCATACCAGGCTTGTGTGTGCGTGTGCCCAAGATCCCAAGAGGAGAATGGAGGAGAGAAGGGATTGTGGCATGGCCATTTCCTCTGGGGGGTAATTTCTCTCTCTCTCTCTCTCTGTCTTTCTGGTGAGCACACGTGCCCTATAGCAAAAACCTCTCCAAAAATATTCATTCTACCAGTACCTTGGCAGTTTTTTTTTTTTTTTTAAATAATTATTTTATTTAACCTTATTTATATTCAACCAGAGAGAGACAGAGCAAGCAATAGAGTGAGAGAGCGTGAGTGAGAAAGCAAGCTGAACTCAGAAATTTATTGTAAGAAATTTAGGACAGACCTAAGAACTAAATAACCTGTGCCTATATTTTCAGCAAAGAATGAGGTAAATGAGTGTGAGATAATTTTTTAGCTTTTGGTTGTCTTTTGCAGGAGTGGAATTTGCACATGACCAGATTTTAAACCTCACTTCCCTAGTCTAGACCTCTTTGGTGCTATAAATCCTGGAGATGACTGCATTTTTCTTTTATGGTAAGAGAGATTGTGAAGCTTTGATATACACATGAATCTTTAAAAATTTAATTTTCTGATTTTATGGATAGCTGCAAAGGTGTTTTAAAGTTTTGTTATGTTTTAAAATTTTATTTTGTTTTGCCAGACATTGTGTGTGCATGCCAGGGAGAAAGAGAAAGCAGCCCCGAATGGGATGTGGTCATGCAGTAATCTCCATCTCAATCAAGATTTTAGCATGCAAGTGTAGCATCCAAAATGGATGTTATTCGAGCCATTGGGGCTGGGAGTTGAACTGCAATTGACCATGTGCAGTCTAGCTCCACATACACAGGGCTTAACTGTTGTGCTATGAGGCCAGCCCACATTTTATTTTTTAAAAAGTCAATCAAAGATTTTGAAAAGTAGTTTAGTACAAATAGTTCTGGAATCAAACTCAGTTAAAACCCATTCGCTATCTCTTAAGCAATTATCTAACTTTGGCAAGTTTCTTAACATCTAAGTGGCTTAGTTTTTTGTTTTGTTTTAGTTTTTTTGGCCATAGGGTCATGTTGCTCATTGGTGACGGGGAGAGAGAAGAGGAAAAGTGAAAAATCACACACTCAGTGGTGATGGCCATGCTGTGATCCCTTCTTCATTCTCCTCAGGATTTTGGGCATGCACATGTGCCTGGTGTGATTTTTAAGCCACCAGGTCCAGGACTCAAATCTCTGTCAGCCATGTGGGAATCCAGTGCCTTAACCACAAGGTGACCTGCTGGCCCTGTCTTAGTTTCTTTTATCTTAGAAGACTAAAATAATAGTACCTGACGCAAAGCATGGTTTCTTTGAAGATTAAATTAGCTAAGTGTATGGGACTTAGAACATTGTAAAGCATAGGATAAATGCTCAATAGATGTTAGCTATTTTGTTGGAAGGGTCCATGTGTATATTTTATCTTTTTGTACTACCTGGCAATTTCTGACAGCTGCATGATTGATTATCAGAAATTCTTTGTTGTTGCTATATTTATTTCTTCTAATTGATGTACCTCTTGTTACCTTTACCCTTGGCTCCTAAAGCTGAATTTAGTTCTGGACTTAGGACTGTAGTCAGTCCCGTTACTGTAACATAGCCCTAATAACATGGCCTGATAACATGGTTAGTTGATTAATCTTGATTTTGGCACTATTTATTTTTTTTATCTAATTCCTCATTTTGTCTTGCTGGACTAGTGGTCTTTTTTATTTTTAGATGCAATGATTCCTATCTTGTAAGAGTTTCTTGATGTTTTTATTTTTTATAAATGTTTCTTAAGATAATGTGGTTTGAGATAGACTTTGATGGCTGTTCCTCTTGCTGCTTGGAGCCTTAGGCAGTGGGATTTTGGTCCATCATAGATCAAAGCTGACTTGTCTTCACTCAGGGCACCAAGGGGATGGGTTGGCTGTCCGTTAGTGCCTTTGATTTTTGCGGAGTTGAACATCCAAAACATGTGATTTTAGATTAAGAAAAGATACCTAAGATTAAAAAAAGAATTAAAAACACAGGATTATGGTTTATAAGGAATTCTTTGATTGTGACAGTATTTGAATAGCTCTAATCTAGGAGTGTGAAAGAGCTGTAATCAATTGATTCTGGGAGTTATTGAAACATACTCTAAGTCATTCATGTTTAAATTTAAGTCATTTACTCAGTTTTCTAGGGTGGTTTGTTCACATTTCAGGGCACTTTTAAAAGTATCTTTTTCTTTGCAGCATGAAGGTAGACGATTCTTCACGTTAAAGATGGGAGCTGAATTTTCTCACCAGAAATGGTTTTATAGAATCATGTTACAAAAATTAAAAGATAATAAAAATAAATGAAAGAATAAAATATTATTCTCTTCAATCATATTTTTTAAATAATTGTTTTATTTGACTTTATTTATTTATTTTAATTTGACCAGACAGGGACAGAAAGTGGGAAAGCAAGCCACTAGGTCTGGTTGTCAAACCATGGCCAGCCATGTGGGAATCCAGTACCCTTAAACCACCCTGCCACCTCCCTCTCTTCAATATTCTTAAATTCTTTTCTGGACTATAAGCTTGGTGAAATTAGGGCACCTTTTTTATCTATAGGCTTGGCCTAGAATAGAGACTTTAAAAAAAAGAACTGAATTGTTATCTCTATTGGTTAATCCTTAGAAATACATTATTTTAATGGCATTTCAGCAAGTCATTTACTTGTAATAACTGGGATTTAAACTTCGACTCTGATGTAAAATGTATGTTTTGGTACTGAAGCATTTGAGTACTTGTGACTACTTAAAACTCTTAATATATGATTATGCTGCTTGATCCTTTGAGAGGTAATAAAGAATGGCTGCCAAAAACAATGTATGCATGTGGCATTTTATTTGTAAATAATGTTACTGATAATTTAATCAAACCTGTTATAGGTCGGTACACTTCCCCAAAAGAGATACAAAGTGAGAAATCAATCCCCAAGTGGGAGTGGCAATGTTGCAATCCTCTGTTTTCCTCCTGGGATTTTGGGTACACAAGCACATGTGCCCAGCATGCCTTTCAAGCCACTGGGTCCAGGACTTGAGCAGTTGGCCATGTGGGATCCAGCCGCAATAACCACCCTGCCTCTGGTTAGCCCTATCATTGATTGAAATTGCACATACCATTTAGGTATGGCTAAAAGCAATTATTTCTGCCTTATATTTATTTTTTGGAGAGACTTTTGCTCCAGGGTGAATGTGCTTGCCAGAGAGATAGACAGAAAGCAAGAAACCACCCACAGAGAAATGGCTATGCTACAATCATCCCACCTGGGAGATGATTTCTCATTTTCTATGTCTGTTTCTCTCCGTCTCTCTGACAAGCGCACGCACCCTATAGTAAAAATCTCTCCATAAAAATAAAAAAGGTAATAGGGAAAATTACTGACTGGAACACTTAAATGTGATTATAGGGACCAGCAGATGGCATAATGGTTACGTTGCTGGACTCCCATGTAGTGTACTGCAGTTGAGTCCCAGACCTGGCAACTTAAAACTCACACCAGGTGTGTGTGCATGTTTGCTGAAAATTCCAAGAAGAGAATGGAGAAGGGATTGCGTCCCCCCGTGGGGTGATTTCTTGCTTTCTGTCCCTGGTGAGCACATACCCCGTATAACAAAAATATATCTAAGAAAAAAAATGTTATAATTAGAAATACATTATCTACAGAAGATCAAAATCAATGTTCATGGTAAAAATACCATTTTGGAAAGGTGAGAGTTACCTGGAATTAAATGGTATAAATGATGTGTAAATACAGATTGTGCCATGAGAATTTATAAATCAAATGCCCTTGTAATCACTTCATGAATAATTTTTTGTAAAAACAGCTAACAACTGGATTAAACCATTTCAAAAATAACAAATATGTTAAATCATTAAGAAATCAAACTTTTTTATTTTTTGGCTATACAAGCAAGGTATCAAACAGTACGGAAGTTCTGTGTTCAAGTATAGCACAACTATCACCTGAAATCCAATGCTTTGTCTCCTTTATCATGACTTTAGAGTGCTTTTGTAAATAGATTTATATGAAAACTTTCATATCTCTAATTCTGTTATACTAAGTGTTTTGTGGTCCATCATTTTGTATAGTAACTATTTTAATAGTAACTGTTAAATTTCAGTCTAAAAACAAATGAAATAAACCATGTCCAGCATTTTGATGTGTACTGTATCCTTTGCATATGTTCAATGTAACCTAGAAATAGAACCAAACTCACTTTGGTCGAAAACAAGCTTTTAAAATGTTAACTTTCTTGAATATTGTGGTCACTTTTTCTTTCACAACTCTTACTGTTCTTCAGATTCATTGTTAGATGAATTAAAGATCTATTTATAGGGACCAGCAATTGACCTAATGGCTATGTCACTGGACTCCCATGTAGTCGACCGTGGTTTGCATCCCGGACCCGGTGGCTTAAACTCATGCTGGGGGTGTGTGCATGTGCGTGCCCAAGATCCTGAATGGAGAATGGATGAGAAGGGATTGCGGCACGGCCATCTGTACATCCCCCTGGGAGTGATTCCTTGCTTTCTCTCTCTGTCTCTCTCTTTCTGGTGAGCACAAGGGCCCTATAGCAAAAACCTCTCCCCCCCCCAAAAAAAAATCTATAAAATGCACAAAACTTTAGAATGACTGAAAAGCATAGAACATGACACTGATGTAGACATAAGCACAAAAAGGAAAAGTTGATAAATTTGTATGAACTAACATTGAAATTGAGGTTTGCATGCAGTGTAACCAACCAGTGACTCCATTTAATCAAGAAAATTACCAAAGGCTATGAATAGGCAGCTCACAGACAAGGACCCTTGGGTAGTTATTCACATGAAAAGATGTGCAACCTGACTAGTAATTAGAGAATTGTACAATTAAAACAACATTCAAATACCATTTCACTTCATCAGACAAAAATGTAAAAAACCCAACTGTGCTCTCATACATTTCTTGTGACAGTGAAACTTGTGTTTATACAAAGATGCTTATACACTTATTGAGTCTCTGGGTGGTCTAGGAATTCTTGGCATGTGTCCTGAAGGACACATGTACAGAAGATTTATTGCAGTATTGCTTTTTTTTTTTAAGAGATTTTTTTGCTATAGGGCATGTGCACTCTGCCAATGAGAGACAGGAAATGAGAAATTACCCCCGCAGGGGGACAGCCACACCACAATCCCTTCTCCCATTCTCATCTCAGGATTTTGGGCATGCATGCACACATTCCTGGTCTGAGTTAAAGTCTCCAGGTCCAGAACTCGAATGGTGATGGACTATGTGAGAGTACAGCGATGTAACTATTATGCCATCTGCTGGTCCCACAGTGTTTTTAATTATAAAAATGTAAACTCTAACTCTGTCCATTATAAGGATGGATAAGTTATACATTTTTATATTTAAGTTTTTGTGCGCACTCACTGAAGATAAAGTACCCTTCATGAGAGTGGTCGTGCTGCAATCCCTTCCAAGATTTTGGGCATGCATATACATGCACCTGGTGTATTTTTAAAGCCACCAGATCTGGGGCTCAAACTGCTGTTAGCCATGTGGGATCAAGCCATCTTAACCATCATGCCACTGACTGGCCCAAATTTTGGTACATTTGTAATATATGGCTGTTAAAATGATTGTGAAATATGTAGTGAGTCATTTCTGGGACAGGCTCATGCTGTCTACAAAGGCAACTTAGCTAGGATCATAAGTTAGGTATTGGTTGAATTAGAATGCTTTGTGTTTTCGAACTTTGATTTACTATACCTGTTTTTTTTTTTTTTTAATTCAACTTTTCAATATGTGGTATAGTTCAAACCAGAAAATGCACAAAAAACTCGAATACCCAAAACAAATGTTAAGGACTACATAATCTACATATGAATCTCTAATTTTCTTTGAATCTAGTTTGTACTAATAGGATGAAATTACCACTCTACACTCAGAAGTTATTTTAAGACATGAATACAAAGGCCAAGACCCTTTCTAACTACTATGAGCCAGCAAGAAACAAAAATTACCAGAAAGTTGTTTCATTAGGGCATCTTTTTTTGCTTGAAAAGTACTGTGGATTCACAACCCAGAAAGGAGTTTGCAGTGTTTAGTATCTATTGTGTGGTTGATTGTATCTATTATTAGTATATAATGCAATCATATCAGGTAGAAAGGTGGCTACTGAAGACATCATTAAGGCTTACATGCCAAGGACCCTTTAAGTCAGCTTATTTTTTTAATCTAAATTCTTACAGACCCATATAAATTACAGTTGCAATAGGAAACACTTAAGAATAAAGAAAAATCACAGGTAATGGTATTAGACTAAAAAAGGTACATTTAAACAACACAGTTCCAGGAAAGCACACAGTTGGTCTGCATTTGAGCTATCGTACTTGATTCTATTGCTTAATTTCATATGCTATTATGAATGTTTCTAATGCAGATTCACTATATAAATATAATCTGTACATTGTATATGGAGGATGCATAAAAGCTTGAAAGATGTCTATTCCAAAGTGGATTGAAAAAATGGCAGGGTCTACCTCTGCATGGAGGCGATAGCTGTGCAACTACACATACAGTAGTCCCCTGTATCCTTGGTTTCAGTTAACTGGAGTACAGTGTATTTTTTTTTTTTTTGAGAGAGATTTTCGCTATAGGGCGTGTGTGCTCGCCAGACAGACAGACAGAGACATTAGAGACAGAAAGCGAGAAATCACCCCCCAGAGGGTATGGTCACGCCGCAATCCCTTCACCTCCATTCTCCTCTGGGATCTTAGGCACGCACGTACACACGCCCAGCGTGAGTTTTAAGCCACTGGGTCCAGTACGTGAACCGTGGTCGATTACGTGGGAGTCCAGCGACATAGCCATTACGCTAACTGCTGGTTCCCGAGTACAGTGTATTTTGAGAGAGTGCGTTCAAGTAATTTTTATGGTATATTGTAACTCTATTAGTAGCTATTATCTGTCCGTTAACCTCTTTAAAAAAATTATTTAATTTTTTATTTGTGTGTTTTTTTTTTAGTTTGATCAGAAAGGGAAAGTGAGAAAGTAAGCAGCCAGGACTGGGACTTAAACCATAGTTTATCATGTGGGAGAGTCCAACGCCTCAAAGACCAAGGCACTTGCCAGACCCAACCTCTTAACGCACCTAGTTTATAAATTAAACTATTGTAGGGATGTTATATAGGAAGAAACAGTGTACACAGAGTTCTGTTATCCGCAGTTTCAGCCATTCACTACGATCACACAATTTCTGGGAGTTTCTCCTGATAACGTAGACTGTGCTGACCGTCCGATACTTCCCAAATTTTCCTGGGACAAACAGCAGCGTGTACACAGAAACTGGGGCTTAAGTGGGCCCCACTATTTTATCTAATCTCCCTCTTCCCCTGCCATAGAAGGCTTTTTTGTCCAAAAAGACAGACTCATGAAAAATACTTTTTTAATTTTCATGGTTACTCTTGTGCCAGTCTACAGGAGTTAAGGGAATCCTGGCCAACATCTGCCAGGCTCCCAAGTGAGAAGCCTTAAACTCAGCTGGATTCGCGCCCTCCTGAGCCGGCTACAAGGGAATCCTGGCCAACATCTGCCAGGCTCCGAAGTGAGAAGCCTTAAACTCAGTTGGATTCGCGCCCTCCTGAGCCCGCTAATAGCTCCCCTCCTGTAAGGGGGCGGGGTCCAGTCTCTAAGTCGCAGAGCAGGTCCCAGGATCCTCAGCGGCCGGCATCCCAGCACCCACCGGCCATCAGGCGCCTGGGTGCTTCTGCGCGTGCGCTCTCTGACGTAGTAGGGAGGTCCCGCTCTTCGTGGAGTGGTGGTGGCAACGGCACATTCCCGCGCTTTTTGTTAGCGCCTCAGGTTAAGTTTCTAATTTGCGTTATTTTCACTATTTTTTCCTCTGTCGAGCATGGAAAGCAGGCTAAAATTCCAGGGTGAAGTTTCCGTCGTTCTAATTCTTTCAAGTTGAGGATTTTGCCTCAGCACGTACAGCCCAGTAAATTGGCCTTCTTCCCAACCCGGCGGAAAATCGGAAGTTAGCTGGACTGCTCTCTCTCTCTCTCTGCCTGAGAAGGGGTCCAGCTTAAAAACTGTGTCCCGCTTTCCTATTTCCCTGTCTGTACTGCTGGAATTCAAAGAGGCCTTTTAAATCTGGTTGCCAGGGGTTTTCCTGTGGAAACTGTTAAAGAGACGTCGCGGGCCACCCCTATGATTAAGGCAACGTTCTTGACAGAATTTGTCAGTTCATAAATACAGACGTTTTTCCGTGGTATATAATTGGCATGTCACTATTATTCAATATACCACAAGTTTTGGTATGTCACGAATAATGCTAGCTGTTTTAGGTTAGTAAAACTCGGAGCCCATTTTATTCCGAAGTAACTTAACCTAGAGAATGTAGATATTTTCACAGATGTTTTAAGCAGAGCCATAGCATTGAGTAGTATTTATATTAATAGGCAATTGTTTAACTGATGATGTAAGAAGGTTTTGTGTAGATTTCAAGGCTTCATGATATTCAGTTTACTTGGATGATTTAGGTTAGTTTTCCGCCACTATTAACAGGCAGCTATTCATTTTAATCACATCAACATGGAAAAGGACCTGAGAATGTATGAAAAACCTAAAAATGTAGCTTACTTTCTGCTGAAGAATGGCTGAAATCAGTGTTGACGTTTATGTTCATCAGGTGTGAAAAGTACTAAAATAATAAAGAGTGCTTGGTAAGACATTTGGACTTTCAGTTATTGTGGAATGATAAAAAGCAGTACTTTAATTTTTTTGTGCCTTAGAAAATGTCCTTGAAAAATTTGAAACCACCTGTGTCTAATTTTTTATTAAAGTTTTTTTCATGGTCTTTGTAGTGACTTGCACAAAGAAGGAATACAATGTTGTTGAGTGACTGAAATCAATATATTATTATAATAAATATAAAAACAATAAAGTGTACAGTATTTTATTATAATAAAATAAAGATACGTATTTCGTTTTACTTGTTATTTACTTATTTCATTTTCACTTCAGTTTGATTTACTTGACCTTTTCATTTATCCCTTGTAGGACTTTTCAGCATTTGGAGATCTCACTATCTCATTATGTCTCTCTGTGAAGACATGTTGCTTTGTAATTATCGAAAGTGTCGTATCAAACTCTCAGGTTATGCATGGGTTACTGCATGCTCTCACATTTTCTGTGATCAGCATGGCAGTGGTGAATTTAGTCGTTCACCAGCTATCTGTCCTGCCTGCAACAGTACCCTTTCTGGAAAGCTAGATATTGTTCGCACAGAACTCAGTCCATCAGAGGAATATAAAGCTATGGTATTGGCGGGACTGAGACCAGAAATTGTGTTGGACATTAGCTCCCGAGCACTGGCATTCTGGACATACCAGGTTAGTGTTAGCCTAGTTTGTCTTGAGAATTTGATGTGAGGTATATGTCAGAATTTCTAATATTTTTTCTTAACTTTTAAAATTTTATTTTTTATGGATGCATGGAAACTTACTGCAATCTCTTCTTCATTTCTTCTTTCTTTCAGGATTTTGGGCATGCACACATGTGCCCCATGTGTTCCTCAAGCTGCTGAGGCTGGGACTTGAACAGGAGTTGGCCATGTGGGATCTGGTTCCCTCAATCAGGAGGTTATACGGCAACCCTACAATCCATTTTTAATGTCTAAACTGATAAAGGAGGGACCAGGAGTTGGTGTAATGGCTATGTCACTGGACTCTCATGTAGTAGACTGTGGTTCAAGTCCTTGACCCAGTGGCTTAAACTCATGCCAGGCGCGTGTACATGCATGCCCAAGATCCCGAGAGGTGAATGGGTATTGCAGCGTAACCATCCCCACTGGGGAGTGATTTCTCACTTTCTGTCTCTCTCTGTCTTTCTGGCAAGTGCACGCACCCTATAGCAAAAACTTCTCCAAAAAAAAAAAAAAAAAAGGATAAATGAAGTACAGAGTATCATGAAATCACATGGAGGGATAGGTAACCCAGAACTGATGAAATTGCATCACACTATAATTGGAAAATTAAAAATGATGGAGAAAAGGAGTGCTCACATTTTACTTTTTGTCAATATTTAAAGGATAGTAAGTCCAATGATAAATCAAAATTGATCCCTGTGTGTGATATTTGTCTATTGCTATGTAACAGTATAAATGGTTTAACCATCAAATTTAATGTCTTGAAACAACACACATTAGATACTTCATAGTTTCTGAGGTTCAGGAGTATGTTCAGAATTACCTGAGTTCTCTGTTCAAGGTCTCAGAGATCTACAATCAATGTGTTGGCTATGGCTATGGGCTCATCTGAACCTTGACAGGGGAAGGATCTGCTTCCAAGCTTTGGTTGTTGGCAGCATTTACTGTATTTCTTAGTAAACTGTCACACTGAGGACACTTGTTTGTTTTTGGTTGTTTATTTGTTTTAAAAATAGACTTTATTGGGACCAGCAGATGGCATAATATCTATGTTGCTGGACTACCATGTAGTTGACTGCAGTTCGAGTCCTGGACCTGGTGGCTTAAACTCACGCCGGGTGCGTGTGCATGCCCAAGATCCTGAGGAGGAGAATGAAGGAGAAGGGATTGTGGCGTGGCCATCCCCCCTTGCAGTGATTTATTGCTTTCTGTCTCTGGCGAGCACACGTGCCCTATAGCAAAAAAAAACACTCCAAAAAAACAGACTTTATTTTTTAGAGCAGTCTTAGTTTTACAGTGAAATTGAATGAAATTTGCAGATAATACACATATACCTTCCCCCAACCACTGCATGCACAGCTTTCTCAAATCAACATGCTGCTCCACAATGGTACTTTTATTATAGTTTATGCGCCTGTATTCACATACCCAAGTCCATAGTTCACACTTGAGTTCATTCTTGGTGTTGTACATTCTATGGGTTTGGAAAAATGTGTTATGACCATTTGGTGTATTCACTACTGTAGTATCATTCAGAGTAGTTTCAATGCCTTAAAAATACCCTGGGCTCTGCCTGCTCAACCCTTTTTTCTCCCTCACCCTCTGGAAGCCTCTGTAATTTTGTCCTTTCTAGAATGTCATACAATTGGAATTATACAGATGGGAGCCTTTTCAGTTTGGCTTCTTTCACTTAGTAATATGCTTTTAATTTCCCCTCATGTTTTCTCATGGTTTGATATCTCAATTTTTTTCCTTAGTGCTGAATAATATTCTATTGTCTGGATATACCACAGTTTATTTAGCCATTCATTTATTGAAGGACATCTTGGCTGCTTCTGAGTTTTGATAATTAAGAATAAAGCAGCTATAAACATCCACATGCAGGTTTTAGTGTGCATATATATTAATATTTTCAGCACATTTGGCTAAATACTAAGAGTATGATTGCTGAATCATACAGTAAAAATACATTTAGCTTTGTAAGAAACTGCCAAATTATAATATAATACATTCCTACCTTACTTAAGGGAAGGGAGTTATGCAAAGGTGTAAGTACCAAGAGGTGGGGATTGGGGCATTATCTTAGAGTGTATTTTTCACCTGATGTTTTACTTGAAAAATGGGATTATATATATTTTTTAAAAGAATTATTTATTAATTATCATCACTATTATTTTTATTTTTTAAAATTATTTTATTTAACTTTTATTTATTTATTTTAATTTGACCAGAGAGGGGCAGAGTGAACGAGAGAGAGAGAGAGAGAGAGAAAGCGAGAAAGCAAGCTGCCAGGTTTGGGACTCGAACTATGGTCAGCCATGTGGGAGTCCAGCGCTTTTATCCACCACGCCACCTGCCGGCCCCTCATCATTATTTTTATTGAAAAGGGGGAGGAAGAAAGTGAGAAAGCAAGCCACCAGGTCTGGGACTTGAACTGTGTTAGGCCATATGGGAGTCCAGCTCCTTTTCCACCACACCACCAATCAGCCCCACAAAAATGGGATTATATTTTTTATCACATCCATTAAAAAATTTCCAAGTTACTCTTTTTGAACTACATGTCTTCATATAATATGAAAGTATCTGTTAATTTCCCGGACATTTTAAGAAGAGACTTAAAGATAAAAGCCAGTATATTTCTATGTAGTAAGCCATGAAGACATTACTTAATTGAAAGGACGTTTAATACCATTATTTCCAAATATAATTTTAAGAATTTGTACTCTTCATTAGTATTTCCAAGGCCAAACATTACTTATAAAACAAACAAAAATATTAGCAAACTCCTTTTCCCAAACATTTCTTGAAACATTCCATTAAGGAACATTGCCCCATTCCATAAGTCTACCTTGTATATCACTGCGATCCCAGTCAGCCCCAGTCAGCCTTTCAGTATTAGGTGAAAGACCCTGGACCATCTTTTTTTTCTTTTTTTTTTTTTTTCCTTAAAGAGGTTTTTGCCTTGGTACCAGCAGATGGCATAATGGTTACGTTGTTGGACTCCCACATAGTTAACCACAGCTCAAGTCCCAGACCTGGTGGCTTAAAATTCATGCCAGTGGAGTTCATGCATGCCCAAGATCCCAAGAGGAGAATGGAGGAGAAGGGATTGTGGTGTGACTACCCAAACTGGAGTGTGATTTCTCGCTTCCTGTCTCTCTGTCTCTTTGGTGAGAGCACACGCCCTATAGCAGAAATCCTTTGTTGTAGTATAGGACATGTACACTTGTGGGGTGGGGCGGGGAGACAAAGACAGAGTGAGAGAGAAAATGAGAAATCAGCCCCTGGGGTGATGGCCATGCTGCAATACCTTCTCCATGCTTCTCCTGGGATCTTGAAGATGCACACACATGCACCTAGTGTGATTTTCAAGCCACTGGGCTCAGGACTTGAACTGCGGTTTGCCGTGTGGGAGTCCAGACACATAAACGCTATGCTGTCTGTTGGTCCCCTGATGCTGCTTTTCTTTTCTTTTTTTTGTCCCTGATTGCTTCTTTTTTTCTCTTTTTGCACTGATTGTTTCTTAGCCTGCTTGTATTTTTTTTTCTTTTACTTTTTGCTATAGGGTATGTGTACTTTCCGGAGAGACAGAGAGACAGAGAGAGAAAGGGAAAAGTGAGAAATCACCCCTGAGGGGGATGGTCATAGTGCAATCCTTTTTCCTCCCTTCTCTTGGGATTTTGGGCACATATGCACACACACCTGTGGTGTTTTTAAAGCCGCCTGGTTGGGATTCAAATGGTCAAGTTGGCCATGTGTGATCCAGTGCCTTAACCACCATGCTACCTGGTGGCCCTTAACCTCCTTCTAAGTGTTAAAGTAATAACATCTCTGTGTAACAATCTTTTATTTTTATGTTTATATAAAATTTTATAGTGTGTAATTTCTTATTACAGTAAAAACTTTCTTGGGACAGGTACATCAAGAGCGTCTCTATCAAGAATACAATTTTAGTAAGGCTGAGGGCCATCTGAAACAAATGGAGAAAATATATACTCAGCAAATACAGAGCAAGGATGTAGAATTGACCTCTATGAAAGGAGAGGTCACTTCCATGAAGAAAGTGCTAGAAGAATATAAGAAAAAGTTCAGTGATATATCTGAGAAACTTATGGAGAGAAATCGCCAGTATCAAAAGCTCCAAGGCCTCTATGATAGCCTTAGGCTACGAAACATCACTATTGCTAATCAAGAAGGCACTCTTGAACCATCCATGATTACGCAGTCTGGTGTTTTTGGTTTTCCATTAGGTAAGAAAGGACATTTCATATATAATATCTATTATTCTTTTTTAAGATTTAATTTATTTTATACATTCAATCACTGTACATCACAACAGTTTGTAAAATGAATTTTCTCAGCACACTGTACTCTGCACAGTTCCAAGTAGTCAGTGATGACTTCAAGTGGTCATTCATTCTTTATCTATGTGTCAACCTATGTATCATTGCTTTTATTAATTGTATTTCTTACATTTAAGTTGACCCCCCTTTAATTTTTTTTTATTTTTAATTTGCTAGAAGGCACATGAGCTCACCAGAGAGAGGGAAATGGTTATACTGTAGTCCCTTCTCCTCCATCTCTCCCACCTTTCAGGATTTTAGGCATGCATGCACTTGTATCTGATGTGTTTTTCAAGTCATGGGTCTGGAACTTGAACTACATGGTTGACCATGTGGGATCCAGCTGCCTTAACAACCAGACCACAGGCAAGTCCAAACCTCCCTTAATTTGAGCAGAATTAACCTCTGCAAAATGAAAACTTACAAATTGCTACCTCAAATTAAAAGCTACTTAGTGGGAGCAGCAGATGGTGTCATGGTTGCATCTCTGGACTCCCACGTCATCAGTGGTTTGAATCCCTCACCCAGTGGCTTAAAACTCACGCCGGGCATGGGCACGGGCATGGACACGTGTGCATGCATGCTCAAATTCCCAAGAGGAGAAGGGATTATAGTGTGGCAGTCCTCCCTGGGGGTGATTTCTTACTTTCTGTTTCTCAAGCTAGCACATGTGCCCTATAGCAAAAATTTCTCAAAAAAAAAAAAAAATGCTACTTAGTTGTAGAAATAATATTACTTTCTATTTTAATTCCTTATGCATTAGGCACTATTATAACTATTTTACATGTATTCATATAACTTACAGAACTTTATGAGGTAGGTATTATTATTACCCACATTTCTTTTAAATAATTATTTCATTTATTATTATTATTTTATAATTCGCTATAGTTCAGCAGAGAGACCGGGAAAGTGAGAAGACAAGTCGCCAGGTCCAGAACTTGAACTGCAGTTGGCTATGTGAGAGTCCAGTGCCTTAGCCATCATGTTACCTGCTAGTACCATTATTACTCAAATTTTACAGATTAGAAAGTTAAAGCACATAAAGTTAAGTAGCTTGGTCAAGCCTACATGCTTATCTTCAGAGCCTACACTCTTCATCATTTTGTTATAGTCCGAGAAGGCCTTGTTTGCATTTCTTTCACATGTTAATACCGATTATACAGTTTTAAAGTTATTGTCAGTTGTTTGCTTGGTTTGTTCTTTGTTTATTCATTTGTCCATTTCTCAAATATTTATTAAATATGTTTCATATGCTACGTTACTAGACATAAACCTAACCTAAGCAAGTGAATATATAAAAACTATCCAGATAATTAGTGTCCTCTGAAAGTTTAAAATCTAGAGTGATATCAGCAGATGGAATGAATCTCACATATCTTCCTGAGTTTTCCCCTTTACATTACTCTTGATGCAACAAAATCCAATAGGTTTTTGCTATGCTATTAGTATAATTGTATTTAGCATACATAAAAGTGATGCTTTTTATGTGAAAAGTGCCTAAATCCTCATTTTTGGGATATTTATTATAAGCTAAAGAAAATGATTTAGTAGGAGAGGTGATGATATCCTAGAAAAGGTAAGAGGTGATAAGATGGTATCAAATATGTGAATGTAAACAAAAACAAGCTTCTTTTTGACATTCAGTTAATCATGTTGTCAATGAAAGTGTTATTATTAATGGGCATTGTAGATGTCCTTATTTTTTTCTTGTCACTGTTCACATTTATTTTGATTTCTTTCATATTCATCAATTCTTTGCCATTCCTTTTTTTGTACACACTTGCCTTTTTACATCTTGCTGTCACTGTTTAGAGTGGAGCAGATAGTCACCACTTTCTTTTAGCTACCTATCCCTTTAACACCTGCAAAGGCCAATAAAGCATTCAGTGGAAGTAGTTAAATACTCAATCAGATATATTTTCTGATTTTGTTTCCTAAGATTATACTAATTAATGTTGGATCATGGGGATATGGCACTATCTCAGGTGTATATATTCTAAAGTATTTATTTCAATGTGTTTCTTAAGAAAAATTTTAAAACCTTGGACGAAAGACTATATACACACAAATATATAAATGCATACATAATCATAAGCATATATAGATAGAAATAATTCTTCTGAAGATAGATTAAATAATGAATAAGATTGTGATATTGTAAATTTAAACTCTAGTAAAAACATTTCATTTTTGGTGATGAGATCATGGCTATCATTACAAACTGCATCACAGAAAAAAGTACAATATGTATGAAGGGTTTTCAAAAACCTTGTGGAAAAATGTGTATTATCAAAAATAAGGTAAAAAATAATAAGGGAGCTAGATTCTTTATGGCAGACTCTGGTCTGAATCCCAGCCCTGGTGACTTAAGAAAGTACTGGCACATGTGTGTACATGTCCCAAATCCTACCAGAATAGAGAAATGGAGGAGAAGAGATTGCAGCATGACTGTGTCCTAGTAGGAGGTGCTTTCTCCCTCTGTCTGTTTCTCTTTGGAAAGCACATGCACCCCTGGCAATTAAAAAAAAGAAAAAACTGCACCATTTTTCTTTTTGTACCACAAGAAACTTAATTTCATTTTCCATGAACTTTTGAAGTCCCCTGATAGTGGTTAGAGGGAGTTATTTAAAAAAAAAATTACATTCATTGTTCTTTTCCTCATCCAATATTAGATATACATTTTATCCATTTCTTTAGAGTTGAGTTCTGTTAAAATATTTATTAAATGACCTGTCTTTTTTTCCTAAAAATCGACGAAGAATTAGTTGCTTAAGTTTCCCTCCCTCCTTTTTTTCTCCTAGGGAACAACTCCAAATTTCCTTTGGACAGTACACCAGTTCGAAATCGGGGTGGTGGAGATGGAGATTTTCAGTTCAGACCATTTTTTGTGGGTTCTCCCACAGCACCTGAACCCTGCAATAGCTTTTTTAGTTTTGCATCTCCAAGTCGTGAATTAGAGCAGCAGCAAGTCTCAAGCAGGGCCTTCAAAGTAAAAAGAATTTAGCTTACTATGCAGATGACTTCTCTGGCAACTTTTAGTGATATAATTTGCTTAATAATCTTTATTCCATATGGGAATCATCTCCTGTGCTATTAAGTCTTTAAAGTATGCAGATGACTTCTCTGGCAACTTTTAGTGATATAATTTGCTTAATAATCTTTATATAGGAATCATCTGTGCTATTAAGTCTTTAAAGTTGTCTTCATATTTTTAATATATAAGAAACTCTGGGACAATGTGTGTTTGGAGGCAGGTGGCTTTAGAGTCTGGTTTCTTTATTTCTGTTATTTAAAGAAAGAGCATTTCATTAATTTCAATTTCATTGTGAATTGTTGGATTTTCATCATCAGTGAGAATGTCATGACATTGTGTGTTGGATTACTCTTTCTACCTGAGCTGTGTGTTTATCTCAGTTTATGTAAGCATGTGTGTTGGATATCTACATGTCACTTTGGATTTTGGTATTTGTGCATATATGTGTATGTAAGTGGATTAATTTACACTGATAAATTTGCTGCATTTGCCAGTTATTTATAGGAAAATTTCGGCCTTGGAATATGATGGGTGATCTGTGGCTTATTATTTGGGTGTGTATATTTTTTGGTATATATTTAATGTATTTCCCCACATATTAACTTGTTTAGAGGTGTGCTTGTGTCAGTGATGGAGAGTAAAATTTGATGCATGTATTTTAATCTCTATTTGTATTTAAAAATAACTTACATTCATAAAATTTTTTTGAAAGTTGATTTTTTTATTATCTTAAAATAAAACCCTTTCTTAACCTTTTTGTTAATTGCTACCTTGGGTTTACTTATTTAGGAATATACTATTACTGCAGAAAATTTACCTATTTGTTATTGATCTCAAGATATTGTATTAATTAAAATAATTTTACAGATTTATTCTTGTTTTCCTTTATTAAGCAGTGAACATTTCTGACTACTATTACAGAAATTAAAATAGTTTAATTACTACGCTTAATTATTGAAAATGTAGAGCCAGGAAGGAAACTGGAAGACATTTTAGTAACTTTATGTGTTGTTAGAAGCAAGACTTGAAAGCATACTGATTGGGGAGATAGACTATCTGGGTTCTAGATAAAATTGTGTGAGTTTGAGTTTAAACTTAATGGGTCTTAGTTTTCTTTATTTTTTATTGTTCACTTACTGGAAGGCATGTGTGCTTGCAAGAGAGAGAAAGAGAGAGAGAGGGAGAGAGAGAGAGAGAATCCTTCCCTGCCCCTACGGGATATGGTCAGATCACAATTTCTTCTCCTACATTTCTCCATACACACATGAGCCACATGTGCTTTTCTTTTCTTTTCTTTTTATAAAGAGAGATTTTTGCTATAATGTGTGTGCGCTCCCTGGGAAAACAGAGAGGAAATTGAGAAATCACTCCCGGGGTGGGGAGCAGACTTTTCTCCTCCATTCTCCTCTTGGGATTTTGAACACACACAACCACACATTTGTGCCTGGTATGTTTCAAACCACCAGGTCCGGGACTTGAATGTAGTTGGCGGTTTCAAACCACCAGGTCCGGGACTTGAATGTTGGCGATGTGGGAATGCAGTGCCTTAACCACTGTGCCACCTGCTGACACCATCCATGTGTGTTTTTCAAGCTTCGCAGGGTCAAGTTTCAAATTGTGGTGAGTCATATGGGATCCAACTACCTTAGACACTAGGCGCACTAGGCTAAGGAAAGAGCTCTGGGCCATCGGCTTATATGTATGAAATGAAGGACTGAATTAAGTTCTCCTATAGATTTATTAATTATTATTATTTTAAGTTTGATATAGGGCACATCGCTTACCAGAAAGAGACAGAGAAAGAGAGAAAGAGAAAGTGAGAGAGCAAGCCACCATGCCAGGGACTCGAACCACAGTTGGCCACATGGGAGCCCAGCACCTTAACCACCACACCACTTGCTGGTGCCAATAGCTTTTTCTTTTCTTTTCCCTCCTTTTCCTAAAGAATTACTTTATTTACTTATTTTAGTCACCATACCACCTTCCGGCCCCTCCCCAATAGCGTTTTCTAACTATTTAATTGTGTGATTGATTTTAATGGTTTGAAATGATTTATTATTGAATTATCCTAAATTTTCAATTCCATTTTTTTTCTTCCTCTGTGGGGCCTGTTTGCTCATAGGAGAGAGAGAGAGAGAGAGAGACGCAAAGTGAGAAATCACCTCCAGGGGGGATGTCTACACCAGAATCCTTCTCCTCCAGTCTCCTTGAGAGGAAAATCAGGTAAGGGTGCGATTTTTTTTTTTTTTTTGAGAGGTTTTCACTATAGGGCGCGTGTGCTCGCCAAAGAGACATAGAGACAGAAAGCGAGAAATCACCCCCCAGGGGGTATGGTCACGCCGCAAGCCCTTCTCCTCCATTCTCCTCTCAGGATCTTGGGCACACACGCACATGTGCCTGGCGTGAGTTTTAAGCCACATGGGTCCGGGACGCGAACCGCGGTCGGCTATGTGGGAGTCCAGCGACATAGCCATTACGCTAACTGCTGGTTCCCGCAAGGGTGTGATTTTTCAAGCCACCAGGTCTAGCACTTAAACCACACAACCAGCTATGTGGGATCTATCATCTTAACCTCTGTGCCACCTGCTGCCCCTAATCCCATTGTTTTTTAGGTAATAGTCATACTGAAATCATTAGAGGATAGTTTATATTTATTCATTTTAGAAAATCAAGTAAATACTCCTGCTTTACATAAATGAGTAGCAAGCAAGTAATTTTTCTTCACTAATAGCACGGGTTATAAGATCTCTTCAAAATTTTTTCTATTTTAGGGACCAGCAGTTAGCATAATGGCTATGTCGCTGAATTTCCATGTAGTTGACCGCAGTTTGAGTCCCCAGAGTCACATTACAATTCACAGACAGCTTAGCAAGAAACGACCTCACTATACCACACAGAGACAGGGCTCCTTCTGATATCTCCATTGTTTACTTTTGTTCATAGATAGGTGTAGGAAATCTTGTGACACCTAGGGTTTCAGGCTACCTTACAATGAGAACAAAGGAAGAGACTTCTTGTATAAGGTTGCCAGACATCAAAGTTGCCGTTGTTAGCTATGATTTGTTTACCTTTACCAAACGTTGACCTTTAACATCTGTAGACACAATTACTGGGGACATGAGGTCATGTACCTGATGGCAATTTGATTATAATGGATCTCTGCCACCCTCCACTAGAGTTACCCATTATGACCTCACCATGTTTGACACCTATGTGAGTTTGCTGCTACCTTTCCCTCTAAACATATTAATTCTGAGTCTACTATTCAGAGCCTTACTAGATCAGTCCTAGTCTTCATCTTATCTCCTAAAATTACTGACTTTCACCAAGCTTTACATATCACTTCACAAACAATTCAAGTGTGGACATTAAAATCGGGTATTCAATGGAACTTTTACTTGCCCTAAAGTTGCAAGGCAACTGCCTTAATTGAAAGATGGAATAGTTTTCTCAAACAATTACTGCTAAAGTTGCAATCTCTCAAATGGAACTCCAAAGTGACTTCTTTACTGCTTCAAGACCTTATTAGGTCAGACTCTCAGCTTACTGGTCTTCTACCTCTTCACAAAAATTACCTCTCCCCGTCCCCCCCCCAAAAAAATCTTTTTTTTTCAGAAAGCGAGAAATCACCCCCCAGGGGGGATGGCCATGCAGCAATCCCTTCTCCATTCTCCTCTCCGGATCTTGGGTATGCACACGCACGCCCCTGGTGTGAGTTTAAGCCACTGGATCCAGGACTTGAACCATGGTCGGCTACATGGGAGTCCAGCGACATAGCCATTACATCAACTGCTGGTCCCAGGATGAAAAATCTTGACTTAAAAGTTTTGAAACACTTCTTATTTTATAGTCAATGATACAGATTTTATAAATTGTGGAACAAAGCATTTTTCCTATGCAGTTTGGATTTTGTTAGAAAATAGTTTGAGAATGTATATTCCTGATATCTGCCTTGAAAACTTTGCTTCTTAGGTTGTTATGTTCACAGAATCATTTAACAGTACAAGTAAACTATAATTAAAACTAAAAAAGTATGGGACTGGCAGTTGGCATGGTGGTTGGGGGTGCTGAACTCCCACATGTCTGACCGCGGTTTGAGTCCTAGTCCTGGTGGCTTGTTTTCTCACTTTCCCTCTTTTCCTGTCTCCTTCTCTCTCTCTCTCTGGTCAAACTGCAAAACAACAACAATAATAATAAATAAAATCAAACAAATCTTTAAAAATAAATAAAGTTAAATAAGATAATTCTAAAAAAAAAAACCCTAAAAAAGTAAAAAATCCAGGAATATTATATGCTACTTTAAAAAATTTATTCAAGAGTTTAGTTCATTCACATGTTACTAATTCAAGAGGTAAACAAACTCAGTAAAAAGTCTCCTTTGTACTGATTTCCCAGCACTCACTTTGGCTCTTTGGAAGCAATTACTGTTGCCCAGTGTCTTGTGTCTCTTTTCAGAGATAGTCCATGAAGAAGCAAATAATTATTTAAAAATTGTGTTTTTAAAAATAGTTAATACAGGTCCACGGTAAAAAATTCAAGAGTACATGGTAAAATTTTCTCCGCTCACCCACGACTCCCAGTCCCCTATTTCCCTCTCCAGAGACAGTCGTTGTTTCTTATGTATCCTTCTGGATGTAGTCTGTGAATATGTAAGCATTATTAGCATACAGTACGACGGTTTTTATAATACCACCCCAAGTGCGGTAGATAGAGTGTTTAAAATAATAGCATTACTTATATGTTGAAAATCCCTGCAGAGTTAGAAAAGAGTCAGATAAATTACCATTGTACCACATTCTCTTCAAAAATGCAAACCGTAAGTATCCACTGTCTTAACTTGCCTTCTTTTTGGAGGTACTGTAATCTCGGTATAAATATTACATAGAACAAAAATGTACATGTGATTAAGTTGATAACATGTTATTTACAGGATTTGGAAAATAAAACAAGTTTATGAACTCTAAAATTATATAGAGCTAGTTGACCTTATTGGTTCAGTTAGTTTGTGGAGCTAAGCCCTTTAGGTGCAGGTAAACCTCCGGAGCCCTAGATGTCGCTGTGGCTCCACAAGGGAAGTAGGAATGCGCCTCTGTGGTTATAAAGTTGGGGGCGGAGAAGCCGACAGTGGCTGGGAAATGATGGCTGATGAAGAAGAGGAAGGCAAGCGGATCTTGCAGAAATTGCAGGTGAGCCATAGATTAAAATCTATATGTGCTTTTGTTACTCGTGAAGTAGCTGAGAGTTCCGTTTTTGCAGTGCCTGTGAATTCGTCGGCACGTACACGAGGCTGTATGCGTCTGTGCGGTTACTATAACAACTCGGGGGTTGCAGCTCCGCTAGCCAGCGGAGCCTATCGCTCGGTCAGTGTGTTGGGACCTCCTGCTGCTGATCTGACTGCCCTTAATTTCAGTCCTGTGTGGAAGAAGATTTGTTGCTTCTGACTTTATTCATGTGCATTCTTAGGGAGCCTTTTCTCCACTCATCCATATACAAATAGTATATTCATGTGTATAGCAGATCTGTGTGAACTGTTATTACACGTTTTGGTCCCTACAAAGGATAGTTCCTTAACACCTTTCTGTTTCAAAATTGTCAGCCATCACAGGAATGGCCTGACCTCAGGTACCCTAGTTATTCCCTTTAAGACTTCACAGTTTGAGTGTTTGGGAACACTGTATAATCCCAGTTTGGGGTCTGATCAGAGCACTACAGACTCTACAGTGTCCACCGAGAAGCACAAGTGACTGTGCTGCGTGACTAGGACTAGTCTTTTGTACTTGTTAGACTGGTACCTTTACCTTTCTTTTAATGATCCAAGATTTTCATTAAAACTTAGTAACACAGTTCTTTGTGTTCTAAGAAACCCTAGAATTTACACATTAGAACTTTGACAGACTTGGAACTTGGTCGAAGAAATCTAATGCTAAAGTTTATATATTGGTGAGATATCTTTGTCTCTCAACTGGGTTAAAATAATAACATGTTTTAGGTTGTGGGCTTTACCTCACTTCTAACTGACTTGGATTAACTTCATTTTATTCCATAATGTGATTGACTGAAATCAGAGATTCTCAATTCTGACTCCATACTAGAAACACTGTTTGTGTATATATGTTTGTATATATACAGAAAAAAATCTGAAAAGGTATGGTAACAGTTGTTATCCCTGAGGTGGTTTGGGGTGGTTGTGAGTAATTGTTTACTTTTTTCCATATGTACCTATTCGAATTTTAACAACTTACATATATTTATTTTGCCATGAGAAAAAAAATTACTAAAATGTTCAGTTCAGCAAGACAAAACCAAACAATAAAATAATATTTTTTGCATGTTTGCTTTAACAAGTAGAGATAAACAAACAATAAGACCTTTGTAAAATTCCTGATCTGCAGCCATGCAGAGAGTAGTACAAAGGAATTTGGCTGTAATTTTTGCTGACAACTGTTTTTTTCCTGGATTTAGTTGTGGTAGATGCCATAAGCACCTTGGGAGAGTGTACTTGGGATAGGTAAGGTAGGTGCAAAAAATGAATAAGGAGATGAAGTAGAGAAGAGGAAAATAATGGGATAGTGATGTTTCTATCCATGGAAATGGTGGTAAATTTTGATTTTATTGTTATGTATATTTACAGGATGGAATGTTTACAATGATATTTCTCAAAGTGTATATTATAGACCATTTTCACTCTAGTTTTAGAGTGCTTGTTAAAAATGCAGAATATTGAATTCTGCTAAACCGCTAAAATTAGAATCTCTCAGGTGTGAGTCCTAAAGAGTGTACAACCTCCAGGACCAGCAGATGGCATTATGGTTTTGTCTATGTCACTGGACTCCCACATAATTGGCCACGGTTCACGTCCCAGGCCTGGCAGCTTAAAAAACTTAGCTGGGTGAATGTGCGTGCATACCCAAGCTCTCCAGAGAAGAATGGAGGAGAAGGGATTGCAGTGTGGCCATCAGCCCCAGAGGGGGATAGTGGTGGTAGTGGTAGTGGTGGTATGATTTCTTACTTTGTGCCTCTCTGTCTGTCCGGTGAGCGCATGTGCCCGATAGAAAAAAATCTCTCTTAAAACAAGAAAAGAGTTTACAATCTCCTGCACTTCCCTGAAATGTTTTAGAGTTTTCCTTTCTGCTATAGGCTCTTTGGTACCCAATTTGTGGTTGCTATAGGATGATACAACTATATTTCGTCTAAGGGCCTAGAAATAAAACAGCAAAAATTTTTTTTAAAGAATTATTTTATTTAACTTTATGTATTATTATCATCATTATTATTTTCCAGTTTGATCAGAGAGAGAGAGAGAGAAAGTGAGAAAGCAAGCCACCAGGTCCAAGACTTGAACCACGGTTGGCCATGTGGGTGTGGGAGTCTGGCGCCTTTAACCACCATGCCACTTGCCGGCCCCAATACAGCAAAATTTGAAAAGTATTTCTGTGGAGGGGCTAGTCCATTCACTTCATTCTGGGTAGTTTTTTTTGTTTTTTTTTTTT